TTAATTAAACACAAATGATAAAATACTCGATCTTTAAATTCCACATATGCAAATCTTCTTTTCTTGACAACTTTATTTGGTACACGAATTTCAATAATCTCACCATACTAATGCATTTTATTAAATGATGTAATTAGATTTTTTTAAAGTGATAATAATTAAAACTATAAAGAATATGTTCTAGCAATGAGATACGCATATGATTGTTTACCTTTTTAAATAATTCATGCAAATCTGTTGATTCAGGGAAGTTGGTGACGAATAAAGTTCTTTCGGATGTCCTGTAAACTGAAATTTCATTTTCATCGATTCTTTTTTTATCTTTAGTTAATGCTGCAAGAACACTTTCCTTTAAAATTTAAATATGATTAGATTAATGAACAACATAAAATCAATAATAAACAGATTTCTTTATTTAACCAAAATTAATAAAATATTACTCTATTAACAAATTCAATAAATGCCAGTTTTTGTGAATCATCAGTTTCATTTTTTAAGCGGACCTCTCGTATTTTCCCACACTATTATTATATATAGTATTACTCGTGTAAGTAAAACATAGCTTTTACCAAAACTATTCCAGGATAAAAAAACCTACATCATGGAACATCGATTTCAATTTCCCTTCTGTAACATCTTGTGGCAAATTGCTAACAATTACTGTTGCAAACTCTCGATCACTAAAATTGGACGACAAAAAGAATAAATATGCTGGAATTAATTATAACAAATAAGGTTATAATAGTTTACCGTTTAACTTTTTCATGATTTTGACCTAAACATAAAAAAGGGTGTAAAAATAGATTTTAAAGAAACATTCGTTATAAATAATAAAATGGATAAACAATTTGAATTTGATATTGTACCCTTATTTCTTTTTGTCGATGGTGTTTCTTCTACTAATAGTTCTTCTTTAGCTTTCCGTTTTTTATTTAATTCATCGCCAGAAGAATCTCTCATTTCAACAAGTTTGGTGGATTGTTCAGATTCTATCATTTTAAACGAAGGATCTTCGGCTTGTGTTTGCAAAACAGCCTTAAAAATTTCAATGAAATTAGTAAATTAGCTTAACCAAAATCACATATACATATTGCCTATACCATACCTTTTCACGTCTGTGAGTAACAATTTTTGATTGCTTCCTAATAAATTGATGGGCACTTTCAATAGTATCTAAAGTTCCATAATGATGTTCAAACTGTTCCCATTCATTAAATATACGTTCAGGCCAGTCCGTGTTCTGATGTGAAGCATTTTTGAAAATTTTACGAGCTTGTTCAATATTACCTAAAGATCTGTACAAAATAAATATGATGATTATTAATTCGAATAGGAACGACTACAATATTGTAAATACGAACTTTTCCCAATTAGCATATTGAAGCCAAACTTCAGATTCATTGCGATGTTTACTTATTATCTTTTCCCAAGTTTGGTGAGATTTTGGAATATCTTTTTTAAGAGTCTAATCCAAATCAATACATATTAATAGATCCATAATACTGAAAATCTTTCACACAATAAATATTGACTTAAAACAATTCTCTACCTCCATTTCAATCAAATACTTTTCCAAACGATAATGTGGATCTCCATCTCGAAAAACTATATACTGTATATATAAGTAAATAATAAATACAATCGGAGGTTTTTCGTATAATTATTTAGATAAATACCTTGGTTTAATAATTTCAATTGTTCTTCAATGAACTCAATTAAATCTGATAGACTTTGCTGATTTGTCAGATCTTGATAAATATTT